AGGTATTATGGGCTGAACTGTGTCTTCTCAAATTTCATATGTCGAAGTCCTAATCCCCATTACCTTAGAATGTGACTGCATTTGGAGATACAGTCTTTAAAGAGGTAATTAAGGTAAAATGAGGTCACTGAAGTGGGCTCTAATCTAATATGACTTGTAAGAAGAGAACACAGACAGACAGAGGAAAGATCGTGTGAAGACACAGGGAGAAATCAAAGAGAGAGACCTCAGAAGAAACCAAGCCTGCTGACACCTTGATCTTGGACTTCAAGCCTCCAGAACTATGAAAAATAAATTTCCATTGTTTAAGCCACCCAGTCTGTGGTACTTTGTTATGGCAGCCCTAGCAGACTAATATAGTAGCTCTGGGGAGGGAACTGAGATTTTGTATTTCTAACATGCTCCTGGATGATGCTGACGCTGCTGGTCCAAGGACCACACTTTGAGTAGCAAAGACCTGGAGAATCAGATTCCTTTTTGTTTTATGGCATGGTCAGCAGCTTCCCAAATCACCTAGCAGGTTGGAGAGGAGGACACTTTTTCTCTAACTCTGCTTTCTTTAGGATGGATGAGGCAGTTGTTCTCAGCCTTTTTATATTTGCAGTATTTTTGAAATATTATAAATACGGTGGCACCTTTCAGGGGATGAGTCGCAGGTTAGCTTATGCAAACGAATGAAGTGGGCTGGATAAACAATAAGACATGATGGATGCAGTAGGTAAACTAGGGAGCTCACACCTCATCTAAAGTGGGCAGATCTACTCTGTCTCCAAGCCAGAATATGAGCTTAATGTGGTCAGATTTCCCAACATTTCAAGAGAAGCTAGAAAATTGGAATTTTATATTAAATCTCTAGATTTTTAAACTTTTATTTATTCATTTATTTTGAGTAAATGAATTTTATTTTTTAAATTAATTTTTATTGGAGTATAGTTGCTTTACAAGGATTTAAAAATTTTTTTTAAATGTTGGCAACTCTGTCAATTTATTTTTGAAATGTGAGGCAAAGAAGTCCCCTGAGGTCCTGGACATGTTATTGATCTATATCTTGTGTTGGGTCTTGTCTTATTTACATGTGTAAAAATTCATCAAGCTGTATGGTTAAGACCTGTACAATTTACTACTTGCAAGCTATGCCACAATAAAATACCTGCATTGGGATGATGCACATCAACATTAAGTAGTTGTTACCTGTGGGAGTAGAGGCAAGGAGGGAATGGGTTTGGCTTTACTGTATCTCTAACATTATGTTTCTTTCAAGAGACAGAACTGAAGCAGAGATGGGAAAACTAAATTAATCAGCTGCCTCATCTCAGTGGTATCTAGGTTTTCTGCTTCATTATTTTCTGTATGTTTGAAATACTTCATCATTAAACATCTTTAATATATATATTAAAAAAAAAACAACCTGAGAATACCAATACTGCATGGGCTAAACCAAATCCCTTGGAGGTTACTGAACCATATTCTCTTGGTCTTCCTCTGGGACCATATTGCTGTTTAGATAAGAATGTTTGCTGCCTTGCTCCAGATTTCCTACATGCTTCAGTAAACACCTGCTCTCTCCTTGCCACCAGTGTGACATGATATCACCCCACCCACTCAGCCCAGCATCCCATATAACCTTTATCATCAGAAGTGGTGTTCTTAGTGCAGGCTCAGCTGTAGCAAAAATAAAATCTATATATCAGCCTAAATTTGAAGACACTGTGTTGAGTTCACAGTCCAGAGGCACCAGAGAATAGGTTTCTCTGATCATGAAAGCAGTGCAGCCTAGTGGTTAAGCTCACTGGGTAGAAACCTGGCTCTTCCACTTACTAGTTGCATATACTTGGGCAAGATAGTCTTGGCCTCAATTTCCTCATCTGTAGTGGGAATGATAATAGTACCTATCTATTTAGGTTTATGTGAAGATTTAAGTTGGTTGGGTGATTGGTACATAACTGTTCAATAATCATTAGCTATTATTAAGTACTTAGCATTAGTGTGATTTTACTTTTTTTTAATAAATTTATTTATTTATTTTTTGCTGTGTTGGGTCTTTGTTGCTGTGTGCAGGCTTTCTCTAGTTGCGGTGAGCAGGGGCTACTACTCTCTGTTGTGGTGCACGGGCTTCTCATTGTGGTGGCTTCTCTTGTTGCAGAGCACAGGCTCTCGGCGCGGGCTTCAGTAGTTGTGGCTTGCGGGCTCTAGAGCGAAGGCTCAGTAGTTGTGGCTCACGGGCTTCGTTGCTCTGCCACATGTGGGATCTTCCCGGACCAGGGCTCGAACCCATGTCCCCTGCATTAGCAGGCGGATTCTTAACCACTGCGCCACCAGGGAAGCCCCTGATTTTACTTAAACCTCTTGGACTAAGCCTGAGGTGAGGCCACAGTGTTAATAAATTGATATCTGACCACAGAGTCTCAAAGGAAAAATATTTTCAACTCTGATTCAAGTAGCAAATGAGATAAAATTTTGTCATGCATAGGGAAAGAGAATCGCAGAGGCTCTAGGCTAGTTCATTTACTGGTTGTCTCAAACCTCAGGGCTGGGGCACCTGCTCCCCCGCTTGGATGGTGATGTTGCCAGGGCAGCCCGGCTTGTTGACATGCAGGGTTGCTGTTTGGGGCTGGTTGCTCAAGGTAATCCTCCCAGGAACAGCACCCTGCCGGCGGCTCTGTGACCCAAAAAGGGCTTTAGCAGTGACTAATAAAGCTGTAAAGGATGCACACAGATCCAAGAAAATCCATCCCCTAAAGGAATATGATTTAAACTACTTCTCAGTTGGTGCTTCTTTGTCTTTTTAACCACAAGCATTAAGTTTTTCTGTTTGAAATTCTAGTTCTCCCATGCTGTGTTCTCCAGAGAGGCTGTTTTCTCTGGAAAATCACTGAGACACTACTGGTGTCTGGAATGGGGGACAGGAGCTATTTGCCTCTGAGAGTGCGTTTCCTGTGTGGGCTTTTCCTTGCATTTCAGGAGATGCGCTCTTTCAGGATTTCTGCTGAATCCAGTTGAGAAGGCCCACAGATCTCCTGAGCCCTCTCTCCCTTCCATTAGTTTGAGGCTGCTGTGGCAATCATCGTGGTGTGTCTTGCAGACCTGGGAGTTACCCTGGCCTTTTCCACTCTCCTTCACTCCTAAATCAGTTACCCACCTCAGGTCTGTTTCATTAATGTCTCTGTCATCTGTCTCCCTGCCACCGTCCCAGTTTAGGTCCTCACTACCTTCCCCTGGATCACTGCAGTCACGTCTCTCTGGTCTACCTGCCCCTGAGCCATGCTCCTCTACTCTGCGGCCAAAATATTCTTTCCAACATGTAAATCTGATGCCAGCCTTCAGCTTAAAATCTTTTAATGCTGCCCTTCTGCCCACCTACACACTGTTTCCAGACTAAATGTTCCCAGTACTGCCAGAAACCTGAGTTGCCAAGAAAAATCCAGGACATCCCTGGTGGCACAGTGGTTAAGAATCCGCCTGCCAATGCAGGGGACATGGGTTCGAGCCCTGGTCCAGGAATAACCCACATGCCACGGAGCAACTAAGCCCATGCACCACAACTACTGAGCCTGCACTCTAGAGCCCGTGAGCCGCAACTACTGAGCCCACATGCCACAACTACTGAAGCCCACACGTCTAGAGCCTGTGCTCCACAACAAGAGAAGCCACTGCAATGAGAAGCCCACACACCGCAATGAAGAGTAGCCCCCGCTCGCCGCAACTAGAGAAACCCCACGTGCAGCAACGAAGACCCAACACAGCCAAAAAAATAATAAAATAAATAAATAAATAAAAATTTTTAAAAAATGCTCTAAAAAAGAAAATCCAGAGAGTTGGATTTTGATGTGAATTCCCCATCCCTTTTTTGTTTATTTGTAGAGGTATAGCATTTTACACAATAAAAATATTACAAAACATTGCAATAAATCTGCTACCCACTCCCTGCTCCCAATTCCCTATCTGAAGAGGCCAACCCTGATACCAGTTTCTTCTGTGGTCTTTCAAACTACACTACACACACTACATTTTTAAAAAAAATACAGATGGTAGCTAATTTTTTTATGTTGGTTTAATATTTTTAACCATAATAGTTTTAATATTTTTAAACTCCAAGGGTCAAACAATACCATGTGCACCCATGGGTTTTAAGTCATGTAGGCATGTGCCTATGATCCACTTGACTGAAAGTTCCCTGGAGACAGGGTTGGAGCTTTGTCTCGGCATCCCCTCTACACCTGGCACAATGCCTTGCGCACAGTTGTCACTCAATAAGTACACTGCCCATCCACTGAAACATTTATCAAGCACCACTCTGTGCCTACTGCTGGGCCCATCACAGAATTCCAGGTGAACTGTGATGTGGGCAACCTCTGAGGGAACATGTGGGAACAGCTAGTTAAGTCTTGTTAAGTCCCAGAGCTCAGCTGGCTATAGGTTCAGAACACGCCCACCTCCCATTTTCCCTGGTTACCTGGGTCCACAAGAAATGGACAGAAAAGGCAGATGACTCCCACTCTCAGGCTCGCCCCAACGGGGTGTGTGCTTGGGCTGACAGCCCAGCCCCTGACGGAGTGCTGATACCAGCATTCTCAAGGCGCCTGCCATTCTCAGGAGCGGCGTTTCTATTTCTTGCCCTCCACCAGGTCAAGACAAGCTAGGACTGGACAGAAACCACACAGGCTGCTTGCTGACTCTTCCTGAGGTGCTGGGCTGGGCTGGCTGCTGGATGAGTCAGGCCTTTTCAAGCTTCTTCATGTTGGGAGAAGACTCACTGTTCAGGTGGTTTGGAGCCTTCTCCTAAGTTACATCCTCTTTGCTCACTTGCCTGTGTGGTCCAGGCCACCTCTGGCTGATCAGCATACATGATGGTTGCAGGACACGGTGATATTTTCAGTTCATGATAAGGTGGACCTCACTGAGGAAGCATAACAAACTCTTATCACATTGCCCTCCCCCATCCTCTGAGGCGGTGATTTCCAATTGTTTCCACAGTGACGCAGGACGGGTGGTTTGCGTGCGTAGTGTGCTCTGTGGGAGGGTCATGAGCAATTTCCCTGGAACCTTACCATGACACTGTACCTTTCTTTACCACTAAGAGACCATTCTGGAATGCAAGTGGGTGGGAATGTGACCTTGTTCAAAAATTCACCTTGACTTGATTCTAACTGTAGTGATATGAATCCTACTCCCAAAACTCAGATGGGTGAGACATCATATTCCTTTTTTTATTTCAAGTTAGCTGGGGCTTGGCGCCTTCATTCTCTGTGCTGGAAAGAAAATAATTTTGGTAGTAGTTGGGTGGGGCAGGCTCTCCCCTTCTCTAGAGATGCGTGAAAAACCATCACATAAGAAGGTACGTGGTGCCTGGAAAATAGGTGATGTGTCCACTCTTCTGAGACCCAGTCTTCTGCTGATATCCCCAGTGTGTCCCTTTAGAGAAGGAGGCTTGCAGAAGCTTCCGTTCCAAGCTTGGGAATCTCAGCTGAAGCTGGGGATCACAGGCCAAAGCTTTAAGTCTGCAAGAGACACTGCAGAACCTCTCCACAGAAGTCCTGCCAACCTGCCACCTGCTGCAGGCACCATGGGCAGCACATTCTGGTCTGCAATGCCTGGAGCCCACTAATCTCCAATCCCTCCCAGGCTCCAGGCTTCCAGAAAACATAAGTCAGCTTGTCTGCACAAACAACTTCTGGATTTGGCCTCCAAACCAAACCTCCCGGAGGCAAGGCTGGCCTCTTGCTCGGAAGAAGTAAAAGACAGGAAAAACAAATCCCATGCTAACAGCTCAATATATTATTCTGCCACCAAATTTATATTAGAATAGACTAATCATTCACAAATTTCAGTACATGAGAAAACTCAGTACTTATCACAAGTTAACTGTGCCCCGTATCACAGCTTATGTGACACTGCTGTTGCTTTGCTCTAAAGTAGAGCTGAAAACAATGGAAGGATGCTCTGTCCTCACCCCTACTTTACTTCCTCCATTCACTGATTTGTCCTCAGAACAAAAATGAAAAAGCTTCTCCCTGAGGATGCAATTTCTAGCCAAGAAGATTACCAAAATGGGTGTTGCCCAATTAACTGTACCAAACCCCAGTCAATGACGAAAATGCAAGCATTGCCTTATTATGATAATTAGGCTATGCTGATTAAAGTGGAAGCAGCATTAAGACCATTTCTATTACGAAAACTATCTTCTCCACTTAATTAGCACTTTCTTAAAAACATGCTTAGTTTTTCACATTTATCTGGCTGGGGACAGAGTCACTGAACCAGAGCTGAATGGCGTCTGGTTTATGAGAGGTCTCAGTTCATAATATGGTGATTGGTTTTTAAAAGATTGCTGCCTTCGTGTATTATATAACATTTGGGCAGGCATGTGTCCAAGCACTTGAAGTAGCAAATTGGGAACACTGAGGTTTGAGTTCTTCAGGATGTTTATTCCAGCTGTGTATTAGCTAGGACCTCAGTGTCCGGCCTTGGACTGTTTCTGCAGCTGACACCGCTGCTAGAACATACGACCCGGGCCTCTCTCAGCCTCTGCTGGAAGCAATGGCTAACGTCCAGGGCATAATGCATCTGTCTAAATGTTGCCTGGAATGAACTGATGCTTGACGCCACTCATACCTAAAGACGTAAAAATGTAAACAAAACCCAGGAATTGTTTTTACCTACCAGATGCACACTGATGAAGACTGTTGACCTCACAAAGTGTGGGTGGGCTTGTGACTCTGCGACAGCCCTGACAATCAGAATGCCATGGAAGTGACACTGTGCGGCTTCTGGGGCTCTGCACAAAATGGCCATGCGGCTTCCGTCTGGGGTGTGCTCTTCCTTGGGATGCCCGCCCTGGGAACAGGGCACACTGTGAGGAATCCCAACCTAACCCACATTTCAGTGGTTTTGGGTATATTCAGGGTCACGCATACATCATCACTACCTAATTCCAGAAAATTTCTGTCACCCCAAAAAGAAACCCTGTACCACCAACTCTCCTCCTGCCCCTACTAATCTATTTTTTGTCTTCATGGATTTGCCCGTTCTGCACACTTCATATAAATGGAATCACACAACATGTGGCCTCTTGTATCTGACTTCTTTCACTTAGCATACTGTTTTCAAGGTTCATCCATGCTGTAACATGTATCAGTACCTCATTCCTTTTTATGGCTGAATAATGTTCCACTGTGTGAATATACCACATCTTTTTATCCATTCATTAGTAGTTGGACATTTGGGTAGTTTCCACTTTTTGGTTATTAGGAATAATACTGCTGTGAACATTTGTGTACAGGCTTTTGTATGGATGTATGTTTTCAAATCTCTTAAATTCAAGTACTTTAAAATCACCTATTGATATTAAATGGTACATAATACATAAAAATTAAATGATACTGAATAATAACAAATGATATATAATTTAAATAATTCTTATTCATTAAAGCGGCTTTCCTCAGAGCAGCAAACCTGTTCCCTTATAGTAATTCAGACATAATATGAAACACTGGGTAGACCGAAAGTCATAAAATGGCACTATTTCAAACCCAGGTTTTTCACTAGTTTACACAAACTTTTCACCACATCAGTCTGAATTAATGAGACACCACTTTACTGTTTCTATCTAAAAAAAAAACTAGGGCTATTATGCGGTCTTCAAAATTCCTCTTTTGATGTTTCAAAGTAAAACCTATCTTTTTTTTTCTTTTCTTGCAGTACACGGGCCTCTCACTGTTGTGGCCTCTCCCGCTGCGGAGCACAGGCTCTGGACACGCAGGCTCAGCGGCCATGGCTCACGGGCCCAGCCGCTCCGCGGCATGTGGGATCTTCCCAGACCGGGGCACAAACCCGTGTCCCCTCCATCGGCAGGCGGACTCTCAACCACTGCGCCACCAGAGAAGCCCAAACCTATCTTTTTAATTTGACATACAGGGAGAGGCTGGAGTCTCTTCAGGAATTTGGGGTTTGATTTAGAATTCTTGTGAACACGTAAACCCTGGGACTGATCTGTTTGGGTTTACCTAATAAAAGTTCAATAAAAATAGGCTGTTTTTTTTTTTAAATTCTGGATTAAGTAAAAACTCACTTATGTGGGAGTTTGGGATCACATTTAGAGCCTCAATCAGTAGACTGTTATGCAAACAAAAACTCTATTGCAAGGTTCTTTGTCCACAGACATGATTTCCCTTCAGGTTGGTCCTGCTTCTCTCCCCAGTGCCTGCTGCTGTCTTCTCCAGCAAGCCTCACCACGGTCTTCCTGAGTCTGCCTGTGTGCTTCTTGTGAATCTAGTAAGGAAGCAATGAGGTGCTTTTCTGGGAGCAGTTGCTCTACAGGCCACTTGTAGAGAAGAGACCAAGCTAATAAAAAAGTGTGGATGTTTTCTCCAGTGGAAAATTACAAGTTTGCTTGGTTTTCATCCTTGGCACCAAGTCTTGGGTTCCTCATCACTGAATAGACTTCTTTCCGCTCGGCGTTCTCCCAGCCAGTGTCCTGGCACACTATCAGAGGGGGAAATAATTAGAAAGAAGTGTCTTATAGGGATGAGAAGCAATGGTAGTTTACCAGATGGGGATAATCATGGATCTTCAAACAAACCCTCGACCAGACAGAACACTATTTGTCTTCTCGCCTACATTAACTATACACAGTGCTCACAGCTCCTGAAACATGTACGCACCGAGAGAGGGGGAGGATGTCTGCTCAGCTTCCCTCCTTTTCAGGCGAACCCCTTGGTTGCTCTTTGGTACATGAGCGGTGACCCAACTGTAGCCCCGGAGAGTTTTCCAAGAGCTTCCCTCAACTTCTCATAGTTCTTCTGTTGCTGTGGAGGAAAGAGTCTCATCGCATTCTTGGTTCACTCATGATTTAGGTTATGTGAGTGGGGGGTGGGAAGGGAGAGACAGCTTTGTTATTTCTACATAATGACACTTGCTAATTGTAAAACTATCAAAGTATAGATATGTAGGTTAAAAAGCATCTGACATCTCACTTTTCAGGGGTAACAAGTGTGCCACTCTGGTGAGCATTTCTGGTAATCTCTGTTTGATGTGCATAATTATTCATAAGAATTTGTCAAATATATTTGTGAACATAGTTCATCCAGGAGCTGACCCTGAGACAAGGATCAGAAAAGGAGCAATTCATCTGCAAGGTGCAGCAAAAGGTAATGGAGAGTGGGAAAGTAAGACAGGAGGGTAAGCTAGCCAATTAAGGGTGATCATCAAGTTAGCTGCTGCTGTGGGTGGATGGAGCTTAATCCCACAGAGAAACTCTGGAAAGTGCTATAGAACAGGAGCCTCAGAGATATCTCAATGGAAGGGTGAGGGAGCAGAAGTATTTATACCCCAGGTCCCACTGGCTGAGACTGCCCCTGGTGGGTGTTAATTCTGAGTACTTCCAGCCTGAACAGCCTTCCAAGACATTGCAGAAAGTCCCCCAGGAAAGAGAGGCAGCTATTAGCAGGTGGAGGGCAGCCAGACACACACACAGAAGTGGTATTGCTTGGAGATGCGCCAGGCACTGTTCTAGGTGCTGGGACACAGTAGGAAACAAAACAGAGAAAAAGTTCTGCCCTCATGGAGCATTTTTTCTATTAGGGAGAATAAATATTGAATAGTAAGCAGGGTAAGTAAGAAACATATGGAATGTGTTCCACGGAGACAAGGAATGTGGAGAAAAATAAGTACTGTGGAGTTCTGGGGAGGAGGAAGAAGGGGTTGGTTGCAATCAGCAAAAAAGGGATCAGGGCAGGCCTCACTGAAAAGGTGACACTCAAGGAATGACCCAAAGGAGGGGAGGGGGAAGCCCACCACATGGTTATCCAGGTGAAGAACATTCCAGGCAGAGGAAACAGCAAGGCCAAAGGCCCTGAGTCAAGAATGTCTCTGGTGTGTGTGAGGAACAGCAGGGCCTGAGAAGCTGAGCAGAGGTGAAGGGGAAATGGCAGGAGAGGAGGCCCTGCAGAGCAGAGCCCTGGTGACACTGTGCTGCCTCAGGTGCCGGAAGCAGAGGACAGCAGAGTCTGAGTCAAGCTGTGCTGCTGTGCTGACAGTGAACTGAAGAGGGGCCAGGGGAGCAGGGAGGGCAGTAGGAGGCCCCACAATACTCCAGGTGGTGGCGGCGGAGGAGTGAGATGCTGCCGCCATTGTGCGCAGGTTGGATGTGGGGTGTGAGAGAAAGGAGTCAACGGGTTTGGCCTGAGCAACCTGAAAAATGGAGCTGCCTTTTCCTGAATCAGGAAAAACTTCAGAAGAAGCACATTTGGGGTCAGGGGTAGTAGGGGGCCTGCCTTTGGGCATCTTATGTGTGTGATGTCTGTTGGACGCCTAAGTAGGACTGTCAGCAGAAGGCTGAGTGTAGCTCAGAAGTTCGAGGAGGTCCGAATTGGATGTAAACTGGGGAGTTTGTCAGCGTACAGATGATCTGAGACTGGCTGAGATCCCCATGGGAGCAAGCTAAACAGAAAAGAGGCCTGGGACCAAACCCTAGGAGTGGAGTGGTCAACTGTATGTGCGTGTATACACACTACATTTATACAGATGGATATGCAGAAACACACTCTCTGTTTAGATATATAAATACACACACAGGTCGTTTCAGATCAGTGGTATTAGATAAACAGATCTCAATTTTCTTCCCACTAAAACTCAATTTTCTTCCCACTATATCTACTGGGAATACTGCTCCATGGTGAAAATATCTGTCTGCTCCATTAAATTAATGGCTGCATAGTATTTCATAGTGTACATTACCATAATTAATTTTCCTCTATAGACAAATATTTTTCCCAATTACGGAATCTTAAATTACACAGCAATGGGCATCACATGCATTCATCCTCTCCCATCTATGTGATCATCTCCTTGGGATAAACCCTAGAAGTGGGGCAGCTGTGGGCAAGGATGTGCCCTTTTTATGTTCTGATGCAAGACTCCTTCCCGGCACCTCCAGTCATCTGAGATGTATTCAATATGGATCAGCTGCCGCCCTTACGAAAGAACTACTGGGATGTCATTCCAGGTAAATTCTGTTCTACAGGGACCCTTCTCAACACGCGGCAGCTTTCTGGGTAATCGCTGTTAGGAACCAGGCACAGAGGTTTAGGGCAAGTCAGAAAAGTCCAAGACAGGAAGCAATCTGTCGGTACCAGCTTTTGGTCTGACATGTGGAGCTACAGCCAGTTTCTAAGTGTAAAGCCACTCCATTTCCACACAGAGCAGCACAACGCGCCAGGCCTGCAGGCTCTCCAGCAGAGCCATTAAAAGCTTATTACATCAAGTGCAAATGCAGCAGCCAAAGGCAGATGTGCCTTTTGTGAAGTGACTGTAATTAACGCCATATCTTCCGAACTTTGTTTTCGCTGGCTGGATTTGTCATCGTCCTGTAAGAACAAGCCTATTACATACCTTGGATTTTTTCCCTTTACCTTGTCGTTCCGAGCAAAAGCATGACCCATCACCTGTCTGGGCAAATACTGAGTGAGTGGATGGTGTCAGGACGTCCTGCACGTTCAATGGTAACCTTGAAAACAACATCTACCACTGCCAAGTGATTGGTCAGCGGCCTCCGCCAAGAACTTCAGGGTATTAAGGGATGATGTACTTAGTCACAGTGTCCTCAAGCACAGGGAAATGTACTGAAGCACCTTTTGATTCAGAAGGAAAATAAGGAAAACGACAAATACAGAGCCATGCCTTGGATCCTGTTTATTCCCGTCGATGCGTTGGTCTGTAGATAGAATTCAACCCAAGACTCTGGACCCATCACTGGTGTTTGACCCACAGAAATTGTAGGTCAGCAACACTCATCCAGGGAGAACTAGTCCTCTATACCAGGTTCTTAACCATCAAGATACACCAAGAAAGGACCTGATAGTCTGAAGTTTTAAAAAGTGTCTGAACTCGTGATCTGTATGCTCTTCAGCTCCCGCAGTACAAGCGCCTTTTCCACGGGATGCCCCTTTACCACAACAGAGCCTCCAACCAGTTCAGCTACCAACACTGTTTCTTCCTCTTCTGCTCTGTGAGTGATGCTCGGTCCAGCCAGGAGGCCAATGAGAAGGGTTTTCTTGTATGTCGTGGCTGAGATAAGTCTTTTATGCCAGGATACAGCAGGCAGAAGGCAGCCTCCAGAATTCATGCCAAGTTCCATTCTTCAAATTACCATATTTCATAGTTTATTATGAGATAATTGCCACCAGGCCTATAAGCCTCAGCACCATGTTAAAATCAGAGCCCGGGAGTGAACGCCACCTGTTTTCTCCTCCTCCCCCCACCCGCTCCACTCGTGCTGCCTGCCGGCCTCTCCTCAGAACGCAGTGTAGTAGTTCTCTGTGGTGCTGACGATGTCACTCTGGTCCTCCAAGAGCTCCAGCACCTGCCGCAGCACAGTTTCACTCAGGACTGGGCTGAGGCTCAGGCGAGCACAGGCCAGGATGTGCAGGAAGTGGCAGCCCTTCTCCACGTCTGCAGGAAAAAGGGAGTTGGCTAAGCTTGGACACACCTGTCAGACCCTCCTCTCTCTCTCCTGTCCTCTCCTCTAAATGGAAGTCCTTCTTCAGAGTTCCTGGATCAGAACCTGCAGCTTAATAAGATCCCCAGATGATTCTTATGCACATTAAAGTAGGAGATGCACTGGCCTAGCTTATCAGTGAGAACGAACCAAAACACCTGTTCTCAGGTCTGTGCCATGGACCACTGCTCGGGGATGCAGGCCTTCAACCTTCCAGGATTCCCAATCAATAATTTTATACTCATAACCCAGTGGGGATTTAGTGCTTGGTAGGCTTTTTTCTCTAATGAAGTTACATGTACGAGCACATGCATTCAGTTCTAACCCCCTAGCTTCCCAGGCGGGAGCCCTCTTGTGGCCGACAGCAGAGCCGGCTGGCAGCAGCCTCCACATTTCCTTCTGTAACTCCTGGACGGTGGGACTGCGGTGGTGACCTTTGGCCTGTTCTCACTCTTCTCTGCCTAGGCTTCCAAAAAGTCGGCCTGTGACGGCTGTATTCTAGGAACCTCTCGCCCTCTACCCAAAACAAATGAGACCATTCGTAGCAGTTCAGGACGAGTGACCGCTTTCCTAGTTGAAATCAATGATTTGGAGTAGTGGTATTCACACTGAAGTTATGACCATTAGAGGATCATGAAATCAATTTAGTGGGTTGTGGTTAGCATTCTTTTCTTACCAAACAGACTAGAATATGAGATTACAGAATGTATTGCATTTTAGGTACGATAAACATTGAGAAACTTTATATTCAACTATACATGTATATGTATAGTTGAAATAAAATTTATAATAAAATTATATAATTTCCTAGGTGATGATGTAAAATTTATTTGTAACATCGAGTCAAAGTCAAACCTCATTCCTGGAAACAAACCCTCCCCAGTTTCCACCAAAGCCCCATTCACAGGGCCAGGCCTCTCACCGCCGTATCCCCAGCATCTGGCCCACTAGTGCTCTGCACAGTCACTGAATGTTGTTTTCAGGTGATAAAATGCTTTAGGCTCCAGGAAAGTCCTCAAAGAGGGGTTGTGGTGATGGGCAAAGCATGGTTGAGATTCTTTGCACCTTTGTGGCTTTGGGCAAGTCACTGCATCTTTAAGCCTCAGTTTTCTGACCCATGGGGAGTGGGGCTGGGGGGCACCTCTGAGGTCCTTCCCAGCTCTAAGGGTCAGGGATGCTCACAGGCAGTGGTCCTGGGCTAACAAAGACCTGCAAATTCTGACCTCTAGTGGCTAGTCAACTCATTGTTCCTCCCGACTGGGTTACGGTTGGGAAACTCGCCACCTCCCCTGGTCTCCACATTTCCAGGCT